TTTCCGAAATTCTACACTAGCAGATTTATCTTACGGATTATGCTTTCCAATTTTTTTTGTTTTCCTTTTGAACCAAACACACGGAATTTTAGCTTTCCAAGAAAGTGTTTTCTTTTCCCACTTTTTCATGCGAACCAAACATACCCACTATGTAAAAATCGATTTAAATGATAGAACTATAAATCGAAACCAACAACCTAACCCTTAAAAGTAATTAAAAACAAAATCCATAAATCACTTATCATAAAATTGATTTACAGAACACTTACTATCTTTTTTTTAAAACAAAGAACAACTCTGAACAATAGCTCATTCTGTTTAATAGAAAACTTAACCCAATGATAAGATTATTAAAGAGAGATCGTTTTGAAATGTTGGAAGCAAGGAGATGATCGAGAGAAGAATTTTTCATTGACAATAGAGAAAGAGTAAATTGTGTGTTTACATGGAAAACAAAAATGACTGAAAATACTCTATGTAAAACTCGAATTAAATGATATACGAAAAAATTGGAACCTAAACCTAAAAGGGAACTGAAAAGAAAATCCATAAATCAAACTGAAAGTTATAATAAACCCCTTGTATATGTTTTTTTCAACCTTATTATCCTTAAACCTCTTTATTTTCTTTTATTTTCTTCTAAATTTAGCCACACATATTTCCTCTGAAACGATTTTCCCCCTTCTATTACAACGGCCAAAATAATTAGCCATATATTTGAATTAAACATTACAAAATATATAACATTCATACATAAATGGCCTATGCAAGTCTTGAACCTGGGTCCTTCGCGTTATTAACACGACGCTTTATCAAATTAAGTTAATAGGCCTTTGTCCCTTTAGTAATTTTATAACTTTAATATGTTCAAAGCTATTATTAGTGAAAGTGAGTTTGTAAGAAAGATTTTTATCAAATATAGTGCGATGTTTGTCATCGGTTGTCTATGTCAACACTATAGTAAATAAAGAAGAAACAAAAGAAAACCAACTAAGGGGAGAACTTTTTTAGTTGAATATGGCTACAGTGATATTTTCTTCTTTTGCCCCAAAGCATATCTAACCATTTATTACAAAACTGATCATTTATTACTTTGTAATTTTTTATTTTTTTGTTTATGTCTTGCTTTGATTGTTAAGGCCAAGTTCTCAATCACCTTTGACCGACCAAGGTATTTAATCATTTATTATAAATATCGACTAAGCACAAAAGTTTCCAGCAAGACTCTACTTAGGCATGTTTAATCCATCCATAGGATGAGGTGAACTAATGTACTGACACTTTGTCTTTGTGATCCCATAAAAAAAAAAGTGACAAATCTAGGCATTAAGAATGTGATAAATATGTTATGTGCATATTCAGGCAATAACACTCTGTAGGCATGCCAAAAATCGATCACATCAAATTTCAAATACAATGAGATATTGACATCATAATGCGGTTGATTATTCTGAATAATGAGCAATACATCATCACTTAAATCGTAATTCATTAAAAAACACTTATCCTTTGAAAATGAGGAATCATTTTAAAATTTGTTCATTATTGTTCCTTACTCTAGTTGATGGCCATCAGTTCATCACAATTGTAAATAGAAAAGTTTTCATCTGCACTAATTTATTGATTCAAAGTGTATTCTTCTTCCAAACACCTCTTGATTTTTTAGGTGTCAGAAGAAGTAGCAAAGTTATGATGGACTCTGGTGATGGTTTTCTGTCATCATAAGTGCAATAAAAGCAACACAGCTTTTAGAACCATGCTGCATCCTGGGTTTCAAAGGATGTGTTTCTTGTAACGACAGGGGAGATGAAAGTAGTCATAGTTTGATATGTACTAAGCTTAGTTTGCAAGTTTTATTTATATTTGCAGTGGAGTTTACAAACACATCTGACCTTCTGCAATTATATCCCTTCTTCAATATCAAACCATAGGGCAAAAGTGTTACGGTTTGGTAGATATTGATGCAGCATATTAGAGAGATAATGATCAAAGAGATAATTCATCAACACAACACAACAAACACCTGTAGGAGCTGTAATCACCAAAAAACGCATTAACAGTATTATGAAGCAGTAATCAAAATAAGAACAAACTTACTTAGCAGAATCGTGACTTGGTCACTGTCCTTAAGACAAAATTTGCCCCGATGTGCTTCGGTTTTCCAGCAAATAGTCTCCCAGGATACAACTGCTACTGCAACTTCTGAGGTTTAGCACACCCTGCAA